TGACTTACAAGTGATTATTTATCAAAAGGCCATTAATAGCGGCTCCGGGAATGATGTGCTACTGGGTGGTGCGTGGAGACTAATAGCAAATCAATGCCAGCATCCGGGCAGAATGCATATGAGGGCCCCTGGCCCCCGCGGGCTCCATGGTTGCTGCAGCCAGAGCCAGCAGCCCCTTCCCCACGGGCCACCCAGTGCTCCCCCCGGTTATTTATCGCTTACAAATGAAATGATCGATACTTTTAATCTAGAGCTAAATTTATTAACTTTCTCATCGGAGAGAGACATATTGACTGGGGGCATGGGGAGGGGGGGAGCTGAGGAAAGATGGATGTGTGCCTCCTAACCTGTCCAGCCAGCTCCCTGCCTGCTGCGGAGCATCCTGGCAGCAGTGGAGCTGCTGGGGATGGTCCCCCAGCACGGCCGGGGTGGTTGAAGGTGTCACAGAACCAGGGAGGGGGGCCGGTAGGGAAGGGCTCCTGCACATCACTGCGGCATCTGTGACAAGGGCCGGGGTGGGGGGAGAGGGTGGAGACACAAACTGTGGGCAGAAGACTTGTGGGCACCCGCAGCAAGATCTGAGCACCCAGGGGTGCTGCTGCAGGTACCAAAGCCCATGAGGCCTGCCCATGCCCATGCTGGCAGGGGCTGTGGAGCGGCCTTTGCACAACCTGAAGGCAATGCCCATACTCCCCTGCCGCCCCCAGAGATGAGAGCTCTGGGTGCACAGCCCTGAAGGACAAGGAGGATGTGGGTGAGGGCTCGGAGCGTGCTGCTGGCTGCGGAAAGGCAAAGGAGAGCCTGGAGACCATGCCCAGGCAGCGATGCCCAGGGCTGCATCCCCCCCCTCTGCAGCTCAGCACATGGGGAAGGGGCACACACAGGACCCAGTGAGCCTGGCACTGATCAGGCACCCCACAACTCTCTGGGGCACCCTCCAAAGCCAGCCAGACCATGGCATGGGGGGGGGGGAAGGCAGGCAAGGGGGTCCTTAGTCCAAACAGCCCCCTGAGCAAGGGAAAAGCTTTGCAAGCCTTGAGGCTGGAGCAGCAAAGCTCAGTCAGGCAAAACTGCAGCTGGATTAGGGTAGTGCCCCGGGCAGAGGCTGCCATGGAGGTCAGCAGGAGCTTTTTGGGCAAGCCCATGACTCAAGCAGGAACTGGAGCAAAGACAGCTCGTCCAATGTTCTGATTAAATGGGACAGACAAGTACTACAGGGTAAAACACACCTGCTTGGTAACTGAAACTTAACCACAGTATGGGTTAACTCCCATATGCTATACGCAGCTTTTCTTATACAACTAAAAGCTAATGGTCAAAAACTCTGCATAAATGTAACTGCCAAGGAGATAAGGGTTGCGCGTTTTTTTTTTTTTGTTTTTTTGTTTTTTGTTTTTTTTTTTGAGTAGTAAAGCAACAGCCCCATCGGTTAATAGAGACACACAAGGATTGGTGAATTGGTGATAGGAGCTGTACTTAGTAAGTTGGGTAAAACAAGTAAACCAAAATGCTGGTGAACAGCCCCTTAATGCGATAATCAACTGCTAATTGAGGGGGTCCTAGCCTGGGTATCTGAGCTATTTATTAGTAACAAGCAGTTTTGTCTTCTATCATCGGTAGCACACAACTATCTCCTGCTTGGCTTCAGCTGCTTTTCTTTTGTTATCTTAGAGAGGGAAAGGAAAAGATACCAGGCTTTGCTTCTTTTTCATTTTTCACCCCTCCTAGATCATAGCTGAAGTTGGGCAGAAGAGAATATGAAATTGGGGTAACAGTGAAAAACATGGGGCCTCTAAGGGTGTCCTCCAGCACCAAACAAGAAGAGCCCGGTGCCTCTTGGCGGGGCTGGATGTTAATGGTGCTCACGTGTAACATCACGGATAACTGAATGCAATGTTTGTGTAGGTAAGGTGCCTCGGTGTGTATATTTATAAAGGATCATATTTTGAGCACTACAAGAAGCAAAGGTAAATCAATTCAGTATAGAAATATTTCCCATAATTGTACGTTAACATATCATACGCTGTTAAGTGTAGCTTTACATCACCGTGAGTAAGGAAGATTGTCCCCTCTCAGGTATTGAACTAGGAACCGTTTAGTTTATTTGTGCTTAAGTTGATGGTCCTGGGGTAGGTGGAAAATAGCACACGTGGAAAATGAGGCTTCTCAACTATGAGGACACGGTGTGCATACCCTGCTTGCACATTGTCTGTGTGCAGGGAAAGATGACCCAAAAGAAGGGTTTTGAAGCCACTAACAACGCAAAGCAGGGAGACCACACAGAACTGAATAATGTAAGTGAGGGTATCTGCATTATGTCTCTTGGGAAAGGTTAGGGGAGTTCCTGGACTCTTTTTTTCTCTGTTTCTTGATATAATGGTGTTTTACCCAAATAAAAACAAACAGGAACTAAACTACCTTGAATCCATGTTGGTAGCTAGTACAGGGAAATTCCAATTTAAGGCCACTGACACAGAATAGCTGTCCTGACCTGGGGGGGTAGCAGATGCCGTCTCCCACCAACCACCACTTAGGGTACAAAGGAGGCACTTCAGCATTGCCTTCTCTAGTGTCCTAGAAAATGCAAGCTGGCTTCTGTAGGTAGCAGTGAAACAGCATCTGCTTGTAAGAGCCGGCAGAGGACACAATGAAAGTGCTAAAGTTTGTAGGAACATACAGAAAATTGTGAAGTACATGGGATGAATGCTCAAATGCAAGTTGTTTTACTGAATTATTATTATACTTGCAGAGCTCAAAGGGAAAGGGCTACCACCTCCAGCACAAGATTTCAGTTTCCTTGGAGCAAGTTGAGATTATACATGTGCATGTTGGTGCATAACAACCCACGATTTCCCTCAGGAAACATTTGCAAGGGGATCTCCTGCGCCAGCCATGGAGTCTCAAACTCTCCTACCCACTCTGGGTTCCCACCATAGCACATACGGATTCCGTAAGAGCCCCACCAGTGACAAGTGCCTGGCAACCAGTTCCAGGGGACAGAGGGAGGCCTCCAAAGAGGATGATCCTCATCACCTGAGGAACCTGAGCAAAGAGGCTGTTACTCAGAGGCTGGAGAAGCAATAGCCTGCGTGTGCCTATGACAGGAGTGTGGCAAAGGGAAAAGGAAAGGTTTCTCCTTCTGGAAGTAAAGCTGGAAATAGGGTTTATGCCGCAGATGTGAGAGGCACAGGCTCATGACGACTCCCTTGGTTGTCAAGGCAGCTATTTCAGTGCAGCTCACCAGTCTCTGTGCCGTGGGAGACTTGTGACTGACACACATGCACATCAACACACGAGCCCTCCCCCTGGGCCTGTAAACACCATATGGAAGCATATGACACCATAAGTGTTTCATTTACTATTGCCCCTGCAAGGGGCTTCACTGTAACAGTAACGAGAAGGCATCTTTGCCAAGAGCTGCCCAGGGCCTCAAGGCTCTAGGCAGTAATAGTGCCTCCAGGAAAGAACAGCCAGAGGATGAAGGAGCAAGTCCAAGCAGCTCTGGAGTAGCCAGAGTCCAAAGATTCAGAGCTGCTTCAGACCAGCCCTGGCTCGTGCTGGAGGCAGAGGGCTCTGGCCAGGCCCAGTAACATTGCTGGAGGCAGAGGGCTCAGGAGCGGCTCCGGTCTTCATGGTTGCCTACAATCATTTTGCTGTAGAGTTTCTGTTGCTCCTCCTTGAACGTGTCTTTCACCTTCTCCCTCTTCAGTCCTCCATCCCTGGGGAGAAAGTCACATCAGAGGAGCTGCAGGCGTGCACTGTCTGAAAACTTCAGTTGGGGCTGCTCGGAGCAGGTCAGAGCTCCTGCAACAGCCAGACAGCTACACTTCTACCTTACGTTGCCAGGGCACACTGCATACCAACTGTCCCCAATGGGAATTATTTTCACACCTTGCTCTGCCAGGAGCTGCACACCCGTGGCCCCACACTGTGCTCAACATGGCAGCTCCGTCAGAAGTGTGAGCTGCTCTGATACCACTACAGTAGACTGCCCGCAGAGTCCCTCTGCCTCCCAGGTTCTGAAGAGCTCAGTGCCTGAAAAAGGAAGTTCCGAAGCTCAACCCACTTTGCTGAGCAGCATCAAGTCAGAACCAGGGCATCCCAGTGCAAGCTGGAATCACAGAACGAAGCCCTGAGGCCCAACACATAGAGCAGAAGCAAAGACTTTGGTCCCTGCTACAGAAGAGTAGCTTTGGAGGTCACAGGCAAGATGTATCTCCATTTCTCCATAGGCCTTCTCCATAGCCCATCGCAAGACACAAACTTAGTTCTACAGCCCACAAGCACATACCAGGACCCAGGGCCAAGGAACCCTGGCATCAGAAAGAGAAACGCCTGCTTGGACTCACCAGAGCAGATCCACAAGGCCCCCCTGCCTGGCAATGGCCGACTTCACTCGATTGGCAAACTGGACAGCGTCCTCTTCGGGCTGTGGCAATTAAAGGGGCTAAACAGGTAGCAGATCAGATAGGCCAGGTTCACCTTACTTACCTGCCTCGTCATTGGGGGCAAGTACCAGACGCTGCAGACAATGGCCCAGCTGGTCATCATCCTAAGGAGGTAGGTTACCATGCCATACTTGCTGCTGTTCCAAAAGGCATCTCCAAACTGCGGGTCATACTACGGAGGCAGAAGAGCTCATGAAAGTCAGGCAGTGGTTGCACCGTCCCCGAGGCTCCAAGTTCCACCCCAAGCCCAGCTACAGGCCAGCCCTCCCAGAGCACTACACAGAGCGACCTCAGCTTCCCCATGCCCTCAGACCAGGCTGTTGACCCATCAGTGCCAAGATCGGGCTGTCAAGACTGAGCTCTCACACAAAGGGCTACTTGTGCTGCAGGAATGTTTGCCGTCTCATACCTTGATGGCTACAGGGTAAACTGTGGCTCCAATTTCAAAGCTCCCCTTTTTGAACATCATCACAGATGTGTTGTTGATGCAGGTTCCTGTAAGAGGCAAGCACAATCTTCTCAACCTCCCTTTAAAAGTCAGTTCAGAAATCTCAGCTATACACGTAAGGGCTAGGGCACAGGCACCCAGCAACTGCCCCCTAATTTCAAACTCTGCTCTCTATGTGCACAGGATGCCTCACTGGGACATCATATATCTGACTTCCACATTCTGGACTCAGTCAGGTCTAAAGATGTAGAGTCCCCTTTGTCTCAGTGAAGGGTCTCAAGGCCCTGGGCTGCATAAGAACGGAAGGAACAGAGATGTAGTGCTGTCCTCATGTGCCCTCTCCACCTTGCAAGGTTTGTCTGGCCTTGCTCCACAACTCACCTTCTGGAAAGATAAGAATAGGCAGTTTGCTCTTGTCCTGGACATGCTCTGTAAGCCTAAACAGAAGAGTGTCGCCAATTAGCACAGGGCACAGAAGCCATCACTATCAATCCACACAGTACCGTCCTTATCCTGCAGTCACTGGGGACTATCTGGGTGCCAGTAACAGTGGCACAGTCTCCCAGCACCCAGGAGGCAAAGCAGCGTCCTCACCCAAGGGAAGTGAGCAGCTCCCCCCGCCCTTTCCCAGCCTCCAGACCTCCTCCTGCAGCCAGCAACTGTCACACCTTTTGGCGACGAGGTGACGATCTTTGACCTCAGAGCGTTCAAACCAGACGTGAGGGCAAGCTTTCACCATGGCTCTCTGTATCACACCCATGAGCCCTCCATGGACCTGACCCACCTGAACAGGGCAAGAAGACACAAGTTACAAGACCTGGGGAGACATGAAGGCCAAGGCAGCTCCTAGCTTCACAGCCAAGTTGAGGTTCATCTTTCTACCCCTGCCCTGGAAAAGCTGAGAGGAAAAGTCTCAGGCTTTGACCAGAAGGACAGATGTAGCAAGATCCAAATGCTTTGCAGACTGCAGGAGGTTCAGCTGGGGAAGTGCTTTGCTCTTCTATGGATAGCAAAGTCCAGAGCTCTACTTGCAAAGTGATGCCCAGAGATCCCTGATGCTCCAAGTTCCAGGTCAAGCTTTCCAGAAAGCCATACACACAACAGGACATCTGTGCACAGGGGCTGAGAGTGCCCTGCAATGTCATGCAGGGAAAAGTAGTTCTGCATGCTCAAAAGCCTCTTGCTGCCTACTCCTTGTCCCATGCAATATGCTTGTTGCTCCCACCACACACGTGGCCAGGCCCTGGCAGGCAGAGCTGGGACTGGGGTGCAGACCTTACCATCGCGTAGTAGCCATCACTGGCCAGGATGATCACATCAATGGGAGATGTGTGATTTGCCACGCAAATGCCTCCATTTCGGGGTCTGTTTTCTCTAAATGCAAAGCAAAGGTACAAATGAGGACAGAGGAATGAAGTGTGAGGCCTGCAAGAGGCACAGCACAGAGGAGCTAGTGGGAAGGGACACCCCGCAGCTGACAGTGTCTCCTTACCGGTCATGGTAGGTGATGATGGCTGTGAGGGCACGCACACAGATCCGGTAACACATCAGGTGGACATGCTTGCTCAGGAACTCCTTACACCTGCAGCCCAGGACAGAGACCATCACCTCCCAGTTCTACAATCTCTCCCATAGAAAGACACCTGGTCCTGGGTTTTGCCATCAGCTTATGACCACTGATTCTTAACTCACGAGAATCAAACTTTGGTCTTTGTTCTCTTCTGTTATTACTCTTTTCAGAGTCCAGGGCTGAGTGCTCTGTCACAGGTTTAGTGCTCACATCTAGGCCCTTTGTTTAAAATTACAGTGTTTCTGTTCCTGAGAGGCTACAGATGCCAGGACCACCTGCCTTGCCTGCAGCAGGCAGAACAGATAGGCCTTGCAGGAAAATTTCAAGATTATCAGGTCTCAAACTGCACAGAGGGCTCCCGGTCCCCTCTTCCCTCAAAGACAAACTCACCTTCCATTTGGCAAATATCCCACCACTGTAGTACCAGTCACCAACAAGCTGATGCCAGTAAATGCCAGGGCTATCCTGCAGAAAGAGGGAAGCTACACGTTTAGCAAAACCAGGCCACGGGCCCTCCTTATCAAGCAGCCTGTCTCCCCTGATCACGTTGAACAGGGTCGGTGGGGCTTGGAGACCAGCTGCACTCGCTGCAGCGGGAACAGGCCATCAGCATCACCTCGGCAGGCAGGTTCCCACAGCAGCACTCACCTGAGAGGCAGAAGGAAGCAGTAGCGGATGAGCACACCCAGTCCCCAAAGTACAGTGAGGCGCAGGCTGATATACTGGAAGTTGTAGTTAGTCCTGCTGAGCAGGTTCCAGGACTCCAGCTCTTCAGCTGAGAACCTCTTGGTCACTTCATCATCCATGATGGTCTCGATGCCTTTGCGGCAGAAATAGAAGATATCTGAGAGCTCAAACTCAGGGGTGTCCAGGGCTTTGCCACTGCCACTCCGGCGGATCTCCTTGATCTCCTCTTCCAGTGATGTTGGCTCCTTTGCAATGATACCTGCAACGTGCCGCAGGCAGCTCTGAGCAAAGCGTGATTTGCCTGCTCAAAGACAGCTCAGAGCCAGGGCCCTTACTCGCCTGCCTTTCTCCTTTCTCCAGTCCAGACACACATAAACCCGTCCTCCCAACTATCTAGAAATGAAGCACTCCCTGGGTGCTTCCCTCCCCTTCCTCACAAAATGGACCTCTCCATAGCTCCCTCCAATCCGTCTACATGGAAAAGGCTTCCCTCAGCTGCTCAGAGACACCACATTTATCCCACCTCCCCAAAAGAATTTTGAATTTCATATGTACCCATGCAGAGCAAGATCTTACCATTGACATAGGGCTTGTATAATGGATGGTTCTTCTCCTTGGCACCACGTTCTATTCTTAGTGTCGCCCACTGCAAGAGACACACATGACAAGCAAGATTCGCGAGGTCTGTAGCTCCACTTCGTGCTACCCCTGTTTTACAGTCGACTTCCAGGGAAGACCATGGTTAAGGGGAGAAGATGGGGCTAAAGCAGGGGGCTTCCGTACAGAACTGTGAGTGATGAACACAACTGAATCGAGGTGGAAGCAGAGACTGGCCTGGGAAGAACATTTTTTACAGCAGAGATCTCTGCCTGCAATGGGACAAGAGGACTGATGGGGAGGTGACTAGCAGAGGCGCAGGACAGCCATGATGTGCACACGTTTGTGTGCCAATTCTGCATGGCACAGTGCCAGCAAGAAGCAGGGAGTGTCAGAGGGAAGAGGGCTCAGTGGTGAGATGGCACAGCAAGATTTTCTGCAGCCTCCGTGTCCTGTAGGCTCTGTTGCACATGGCATGTGGTTGTCGCTGCACATCTGCGTCCATCCTGCTGGGGTAGGCCACATCACAACACAGGAAGCCGATCACGGGACTGGTGCTATTTTTCAACCTTCATTTCTTCCAAGCTCCATACAGAGATTGTGTGTTCAGGCTGCTGCTAAAAACATTAGGCTGATGATGGGATGGGATCCTTCACTCCCCAATTCAGCTAACAGCTGCTGCTGCTTCTCAGCTCCCCAGTCAGTCCAAAACAGCAGCGGCAAGCACCCTCAGACAGCTCTCTGGCAGCTGGCTGCCAAATCCCATGCCCAGACTACCTGTTATCCACAGAAATCTCTCTCAGCTAATTCTCAAGGGCATCAGCAAAAACTACAGGCTGGATTTCTGATCACTCTTCCTGCCTGCCTTCCATGTAACCCTCTCAGCCTCACACTCTCCTGCATTATACAAGCCTGGGAGAACAAACTTCTAAAGGAGGCCTTGTGTACAATGTGGTTATTGCTCCAGGCTAGTTGATCCATCAGGGATCTGTGAAGAAGCGGAAGTCGTTGGGAATTCCTGGCATCCCGGTCTCAGCCCACGCCATCATCAGATCAGGAAGCAGTGATGTGGGAATGCTAATTGTATATGGAGCGTTCCGCTCACCTAGCAGCCTCCTCTGCCAGCAGAAGGAACCGGCAGGATTACAGAAGATTGTCTAGATGCTGCCATCCCAGGAGAAGTCAGAAGAGGAGCTCTGATCCAGCAGAAGCTGGAGAAGGCGCAGCACATCTCTATCCTGACTGCAGCAGCAGAAACCTCAGACTCCCACCTGGGAAGCACCAGGCAGGTCTCCCTCACCACCAACACAGATGTGCAGCTGCCATCCCAGGCTCCACAGCTCTGGCTGTGTCCCACAAGTTGCCAGACTTGAGCGCTGCCCCTCTGGGCTAGGCCTCTACAGCTCGGAAAATCTTCTGGGTAAATAACACTCCCCAAAAATACAATTCTGAATGACCAAACTTAGGGAGTGAATTTTCCACCAAATATGCGAGCAGTTGTGCCAGAGTGCTCCTCTCTCTGACCACAAAGATTTTTTGATAAAAGCTGAAATAGACTTCAAAGTCTTTTCAGAAAAACAGTTTCAAAATTAAACACCAAAATAGGTGTCAAGATTAAACATTCCTGAATCGAAGAAAGAAAAAAAAATTAAAATAAGGTGAAAAGTTCCATTTCAGATCAACCAAACTTCTTATTAATTTCTTCTCCCAGTTCAGTCACTAAATTTGAAGTCAGGTCTTCAGACGTCTGCGTGAACGAAGCACCTCACAAAGCCCAGAGTCTTCCCATTCACACCTCAGGCTTTTGGGAGGGCTCAAAGTTTAAAGAGCTGAACATTGCAAGCTCCAGGGCTGCCTTCCCAAGCCAGCCAGTACAGAGATACTCCTAAGGAAGACCAGCCCTGTACCACAAATCCTTTATCAGCTTGAACTCCATGTTTAAGAGCCTAAAACCTCCCTATCAAGCACAGGGCACCGCTTTTCTTTTTGCTTGGGCTGCCAGGGTAGGGTGGTGTAGGCTTTATCTACTAGGAGTTTGGCAAAAATTCTGGTCTCACCAGGGACTTGCTTCAAGGTGAGGTGTTGGCTGTGAGACAGCCCATAAAATTAGTCTGCCAAAGGCAGGCAAGGGAACAGCATGACCCCAAGCTGGAAAATTCCACTTGGCCTCTCTGTGCCAAGAGGGTCAGCAAGGGCTGCTGGTCATCCTCAGAGGCTGCAGGTCCAGACACGGCTGCTAGGTTCCGCAGATAAGCAGGCAGCACTCTGGGACAGAAGATTGTTGAGAGCTCTGGGTTCTGGACATGGACCGCTTGGGGGTTGCAGTACAGAAAATCCTGCCTTACCTCCTGCTTCTGCTTCATCCAAATATGTCCCGGAGAGGAGCAGCCGGCTGACTGCAGCCTTGTCCCTCCCCATCACACCCTACACCTCTTTTTGGCTTCTTCCCACATCAAACTTTAAGAGCACCCTGCCTTGTCTGGGACGTTAACCCACCCAAGCACGTCTACAGATCCTACTGTACAATTGCATACTTACGGGCCACATTATCCCACTAGTTTACTTGAAGACCTACTGGATTAATTACAGTGAAAAAACATCCCACAAACAGAGGTCTAGTAAACTCCATTTGGCTGAGAATACCCAAATGGGTCATCTGGGACCCGCACACATCACCAATAAACCAATTTCCCACTCCAGTCATCTGCGATGCTCTGCTGAGGGGCAAAAGCCTCCTTCCTAGCACAACCACGCTTGACAAGACCCCTGTAAACGCACAGAAAATTCAGAAAACATGACTTACCTGAAAAATCTTTAATAAAGTTTTCATGTAAACCTTGCGGATGCCAAAGGAGACTCCAAAAATTGCTGGCACAATGATGAAAACCAGAAGCAGAGTGAAGAGGACAGTTATGGAAATCCCCAAGAGATTAACAAACAGGTTGTCAAAGGGGAGCAGGAGGAACATGATGAAGGGCCCAGGCAAGGCTGGTGCCCTGCAGCCAGACAGAAGGGCTGCCTGCAGCGATCAACCAGTCCTTCTGTTATTCAGCAACAGTCTCACACGTGCACTGAGTCCGCAGCCTGCTCACAGACCCCATTCCAAAGTTCACATCCTTTTTGGGCCCTGCGAGAGAGGGAATGCAACAGGATCAGGGAGAGCAGTTGGGAAAACAAGTAAACAGTCTGCCAGAAGCCCAGGTGAGTTCAGCGTGGGCTGAGGAACTCAAAGAAGACAGAACACGCACACAGGTTCCTCCATGGACGTGCAGCGGGTGCTGCAGTGACACAATTGTGCGAACGGATATCCTCCCAAGGTGCTGCTAAGCAAGTCCTGCCGTGGGGCAGCTTGTGAAGAAGCTGGCAGCAGAATTCCCTTCTGGCTCCTGACAGCATGCAGAGTCTCTTCACAGGGACAAGGTGGAGTCCATCCCTGAGCCTGCATTGGAGGAGATCGAGGGAGCTGGCACTTGCAAGAGCCTACCGTATGTGGAGCTATTATTGTTCTTTCCGTGAGGACACAGGCACTAGCGCAGATCCTTGCATGACGCCTGGAACAAGTTTAATTCCAGAGGCCCCTGGCATCCACTCACACTGAAGGGTCGTTACAGACACGAATGAAGCCTATGTCCCTGGAAAGCTCTTCAAACAGCGAGCTGGCTTCTTGGCAGATGAGGCACTCACATGCCACCAGTGCTAGTGGAGGAAAGAGAAACCGAAGTCAGGCAAGTCACGCAGCTCGGAGAGACGTCAACTCAGAGAGAGTGGCAGGAGGCCAGGGACAGTGGGCTCTGAAACCTGCCAGGCTGTGCTTGGGCTGAGGTCACATCACTCAGAGCAGCTCCTGAAACACAGCAGACTCAGACTGGCTCTTCAGCTAATGCCTGGCACTGTCACAGACTTGGGAATCACCCCCTGCTGCCACTCGTCCTGTGTTTTCATACCATCCACACCTCAGATTGAGCAAACTCATCCAGAACCACGCCTAGAACAAAGGAGGCTGCAATCAGGTCCCAAGTACAGGAAAGGAGCCACTGGAGTGACAGAAAACTCTTCCTCGTGACAAAGATCTTATTGCCTTTCTCATTTCAGAAGCATCCTAGAGCACTGAGCTAGCTGGGTACCCAAATTCCTGGGGAGGCATCACTTCCTCTACTCCTGCACACACATCTCACCCCCTTGAGTCACGCAGGGCAGTTTTACAAACAGTTCAAGACAGGAAGTTAGGTCAAGGGGAGAATTATTGCTGATGATTAGCTAAAGTGGAACTTGTTGGGGCACAGGGATCAGTCAAAGGTCAGACACTCGGTGCTACAGCCCTTCTGGTGGAGGATGCTCAGGGGAGACTGCCCTCCAGATACCACCTTCATCCGGCTACAGAGTGTCAGCCTGAGGATGGAATTTAACAGGTACCTGACAAGCACACAGGAGCAGAGGAGAGTCTGGGAAGATCCGCTTCCTCCTCTGCACAGTGTGTTCCAGTTGCGGGTTTAGCACTGCTGTACCACTAATGCTAAGAATATGGTTAGTGCTTCAAAGGAACATGCACGCCTGCATAAATCGTGTCCTGGGAGAGGCAGCTCTATGGCCACGTGTGTAATCGCCCATTATGCCAGAGCTCTCACCCATCAGAACCAGGACTTGTGCTGGCAAACTGGTCAGACCGGCCATCGGAGCTGGCAGCTGCTGCCCTAAGAAGGGCTCAGTTATTGCATTCCCTCACTGTGTCACCCAGCTGTGGCCCCTCAAGGCAGGTCACGCAAGAGGTAACACGTATGGCCAGCACCCACGTGTGAAGAACTCTGGGCAAGCACAGGCAGCCATGCCTGCTGGCTACAACCTCTGGGGCTCCCGGCAGGACGATGCTGCTGATGCCCCAGGGCTGCCAGGATGCCTGG